CATTAAAAATGGAGTAAGTTTGGTCTTCAAGTTTAGTTTCCAGTTCCTTTTACAGTGGTCTGTATTTCCCTAAAGCAATGATGAATGTTGTCCTCCTTCTATTGTGTTATACTTTGCCTATTCTTTTGATGACCATCTTGTTGTGTTTCAAATAATAATAATAATATTTATTTATACCTCACCACCATCTCACAAAGGGGACTTGGGGCGTCTAATATGAGGCCAAGCCCAAAAATATAATATAGCAAAATAAAATACAAAATGCAGACAACAAAAATTACATCAGAATAAAATACATACAGTAGCAAAATAAAATAAATAAAGCAAATTGACATAATCTAAAATCAAACACAATGGACAGGCCAAATGGACAATGTAAAATGATAAAACCCTGGATGAGGTAGGAATAGAAAAAGTGTAATTGAGAGGAGCCCAAAAAGGATGAACAGTGGGGTTAGGCTTTCAGTTTAGGACGGGAGAAAGTGCATCATAGGGGCAACATTGTAGATGGAACAAACAGAAATGGGATAAATGGTCACTCTCCAAAGGCACATTGGAAGAGCCAAGTTTTCAAATTTTTCTTGAAGGCTAGCTTGTCTAATCTCACCAGGTAGTGAGTTCCAATCAAAATGGTTAAAGGTCTGGAAACCATAGCCTATGAGGAGTGGCTTAGAGAGCTGGATGTGTTTTGTCGGGAGAAGAGAAAGTTAAAGATTGTATGGTACCTATGTTCAAATATGTGAAAGAATGTCATTTTGAAGAGGGAGTCCACTTGTGTTCTGCTACTCAAAAAACTAGGACATGGAACAACGTAGTCAAACCACAAGAAAAGAGACTCCACCTAAACATGTGGAAGAACTTCCTGATGGTAAGAGTTTTTCAAAAGTGGAATATGCTTCCTTGCAGTCTGATGAAATCTTCTTTGGAGGTTTTTAAACATAGGTTGGATGACTATCTGTTGGGAGTACTTTGAGTATGTATTCCTGTATGGCAGGAGGCTGGAATGGATGGGCCTTCTGGTCTCTTCTATGATTCTATACATGTAGCTGAAAATTTATCTGGTGAAATAATCTCACATAAATAAGTGAATCACTCAACAGTGAAAATTAGTCTTTCTTTTGCTAGCTTTTCCATATAGCGTGTTCCTTACAAGGAAAGATATTACCATGTTAATCTCAGCCAGCTATGAGTATATGATGTAGCCAAGATGCAGTGTGCATTTACACTGTAGAATTAAAGCAGTTTGACACAACTTTAACTGCCGTGGATCAATGCTTGGAATCATGGGAGCTGTATTTTTACATGGTCTTTTCACCTTCTCTGCCAAAGTATGCTGGTGCTTCACTAAAATACTCATTTCACAATTTCATAACACTGAACCATGGCAGCTAAAGTGGTTTCAAACTGTCTTAGTCCTACAGCAGTCAGGCCTGTAGCCAGGATTTTAATTCGGGAGGAGCTGAGTTTGATTGGGGGGGGGGGGGGGGGGGCTGAGTCTGAGTGAAAGAAGGTCTACCCTAGCAAACCTTTTGTATCGTTACCCCAATACCCCCATGCATATGGGATATATTGAGCATGGTGATCAGATCATGATATGAATAAACATAACAGTTTAAATAATGTACCAGTAAGGCCTTCTCGCGGACCACCAGGAGAATTTGGGGGGGGGGGGGGCTGAAGCTCCCCAACCCCCCCCCCCCACCCCGGCTACATGCCTAACAGCAGTGGTTCATAACCTGTGGGCCGTAGACCACCAGTGGGCAGCAAGGACAAAAATTTGGTCTGTGAACCTCCTTCCTCTTTATTTTATTGTATTTATTTTATTTCCACTCCCTTCGCTCTGCCTGCCACTGCTTCCCTATTGCTGACCATGGAATACATTCTGTATCAGAATGGTCTACCCAATGCAATTTTCTGAATAGAGCACCCCAAACCAAATCTAAAGTTGATCAAAAACTGATTTGTAACCCTTTTCATACTAATGTTGGATAGTGGTCCCTGGTCAAAGTGGTCTCTGGTCATGTAGTTCCTGGTCAAGTGGTCCCTGGTCAAAAAGAAAAAGGATGGGAATCAGTGTTCTACGGTGTAAATGCAGTCACTGTTTCTCCATTTGATTCTTTTGGCCAATATTCTCCTTCATGCTGGGGAAGATAAAGTTCTACTAATTGAATAAACAGCACCTGGATTGGCCTTAATTCTGAGAGTTGCATTTTGGAGAAATGCACAGCAAACTTGCTAAAACAGCTATGTTGGACATTATGCATTCATGCCTTAGTTCAGGATTAGGCAATGATGGAAGGCTAGGGGACCACATTAGTCCACACTAGACCTTGGGGAACTATCCTCACTGAGGGTATGTTGTTCAAATGGAAGGTAGAGTCAAACACTGGTGAATTCCCCATCCTAAATAACAGCCCCAGACAAGCTCATGCTAAGCATGTGAGTTCTTCTTTCATTCCTGCGTTTGCTCAGGGGCACTCATTAAAGGAGTGGTTTCTGCTTGGTGGGCCTCATGAGCCCTCACTAGCTCACCTCATGCTGGCTGAGGAAGCTGCCAATCCTTTCATTCTATGTCTGCTAGAAGGGATATTTGTTTCCTGGTGTTTTATTGTTTCTGTTGGTTTGCATTTTTAATGTATTTTTTTCTGCTAAGCCTCTCACAGAATATTTGTTGCTGGGTGGCAACATAAATTTTAATAGTGATATAGTACCAATCGGAATGAAATAACAGTGTACTCCTTAAAAAGAAAACATTGTAACAAGAGAGTATAACAACTATCAATAATAATAATAATAATAATAATAATAATAATAATAATAATAATATTTATAGCTGCCCTCTCTCCCCGACAGGACTCTATCATCTATCTATCTATCTCTCTCTCTCTCTCTCTCTCTATCTATCTATCTATCTATCTATCTATCTATCTATCTATCTATCTTCTATTGGTTGAGCAATCTTATTTCTCTTCCCCCCCCCCCCGGCTAATCAGTAATCTAAATCTGCATGTATTTATTGAAGCAATTAATCAACAGGACTAAACATATAAGCAAAACGGGTTGTTGTAGGTTTTTCCGGGCTATATGGCCATGTTCTAGAGGCATTCTCTCCTGAGGTTTGCCTGCATCTATGGCAAGCATCCTCAGAGGTAGTGAGGTCTGTTGGAACTAGGAAAATGGGTTTATATATCTGTGGAATGACCAGGGTGGGACAAAGAACTCTTGTCTGTTGGAGCTAGGTGTTAATGTTTCAACTGACCACCTTGATTAGCATTTGATGGCCTGGCAGTGCCTGGGGCAATCTTTTATATAAGCAAAACATTTCGATCTTCATTTTCTTCATTTGTTAAAGATGAAACTGAGCAGCATACAAAATAACACTTTAGAATGTCCTGTTTCCAGCGAATGATGGTCTTTCCTATCCATTGAGGTTGAAGCTATGTGGTGTTGAGGTCTTAAGCCAATAGACTCTTGTATCTATGGTGCATATGACCCAAGACCTCCCACTGATATCTGAAACAAGCTAATACCAAGTCCCATATTAGTTACTATATATAGGGTGGAGTCATACCATGGAATAACATTGGAGAACCCATAGAGAGGAGACCCCCAAACACTTTCAGAGGAGTTTTTTTTGTAGTGCAAATAAGTGAAACCATGAATATCGAGTCTGCAGATAAGGGGTTTATAGTGTAGTCAAATCTGGTAGGTCGCACAGAACCCAGAAAGAGGTACAAAAATGTGACCACCACCCCAACTATGGAACTCCCTGCTAAAGGAAACCAGGCTCTTCTCAACTTCAGCTGGGCTGTTGGAAACCTTTGGCCCTTGAAATTTCTCTAGCAAGTTTTTTTATTATGCATTTTTTTTTAAAAAAAAACCCTATTTTTTCCACAGACAAAAAAGAGGAGAACAAAGAAGGTGGAGTCTCCTTCTTTGGATGACCATCTGTCGGGGGTGCTTTGAATGCAATTTTCCTGTTTCTTGGTAGGAGGTTGGGCTGGATGGCCCATGAAGTCTCCTCCAACTCCATTATTCTATGATTAGTACACTAAGACTAAATAAATGTCTACTATGAGGGGTATTTTTTAAGTAAGGTCCATTGGAACATAAGTACACAAAGAAAGTTTATTTCAAAAACAATAAATTTATTTTCAGAAAGTACATACTTCACTATTTTTTGACATAGTTGCCAAGTTTGTTCAAACACTTATCATACCTCTGAACCAATTTTAAAATACCCTCTTCATAAAAACTTGCCTGCTCCGATAACCAAATCGTCTGTAATCAAAGAAGGGCGACCGGAGCGGTCCTCATCATGGACGTTGTCACGGCCATCTTTGAATTGTCGTACCCACTTACGCACTTTGCTTTCACTCATAACAGTATCACCGTACACTTCACAAATCTGTCGATGAATTTCTGCAGCAGGCAGGTTCCTTGCTGACAAAAACCGTATCACTGAGCGAACCTCACATGCGGGTGAGTTGATAGTCTTAAACATTTTTAAAGCACAGAACAGAACCGTACAGGTTAGCTACAGAGCGGAAACTGAGCACAGTTGTTCCGAGGCATGCTGCTACACGACGCACATGCTCGTTGCGGTATGTGCGCAAACTACTAGTGTCTACAACAAAATGGACCTTACTTAAAAAATACCCCTCGTATATCACCAAGGAAGAGGAAGGGGGTCTGATTTCTCTGGCTATTTTCACCGGCTGGTTTAAAATTGTTTTAAAGGAATTCTCAGTTAGTTTAAAATATTTTTAATCTATGTATTTTATATTTTCAGTGTTTTGTGTTCATGTTTGCCTCAGAGGCTTTGGTAGACACTTTCAGTAAAATACATATTGCTTCATGCATCTCATTCTTGGACCCGTAATTGCTATTGAGACAGGTAGGACTTGATAACTGCATTACAGAGAGAAATACAGAAACCAAATTCATATAGGAAGCAGGAGGAGGCTACTGCGGATTGCTCTGTTATTTTACAAGGAGACAACAACCACTCATTCTCTGTTTAGTTAAAAAAAAACAGACTTTATTTCTTCAAATGCAACCAGACGTAAAGGAGCCCGTTGTTTTCAGCCCGGCATGGCTCCGTGCTTACGGCTGTCTATTGCCTCACAAACCAAGTCCAACATTTCAAAGCAACGTGTCTGATCTGAAGGATGACGATAACAAGCTGGGAGTGAAATTCTTCCAAGACTTTGAAATTGTGCCTCCTGCTGCTGTAGTATAGACCTGCAGCCAACAGCAGAATCATGCAAAAAAGGCAAATCCCCAGGAACACAGGCAAAATGTTTGATGGCCTCTCGCGTGCTGGGACTAGAGTGGAGGAGAGACAGGAGCGTTGGAAGAAGGAAGTGAGAGAGATTAGAATGTTGTTCCCCCAGACATATTCACACACTTTTGCCCTCCTACATTTGCCAATCAGTCTGATTGCCAGTGCCGTGCCAAAAACTGGGATGTAAGGAGTTACAATAAGTAACATGATGGTTTGTAGTAAGTAATTTTTGAAGAGTAATGACTATAGGGTTGCCAGTGTGAAAACTTATTTAAGTTCTTGTACCTTTACAGGTTATATAGAAGGGGCATATTGACAGGTATTGCTTGTTCCTTGGGGCCCATCTACATGGGCACTATATCTCTCAGTGGGCAAGAATTGGTTCCATGGCATTTACATGATGTAAATACCACGGAGCCATCTCAACTCTCAACATGGGCACAGCCACTTAATATTTCGTCCCAACTGATCCTCCTTCCAGATACATTGCATTGCTTTCTCACCCAGTATTTTAAAACTTTTAAGCTTTGCAACTGGCCCTGCCCACTGTGTTCAATTGCTGCAACTCAATTTTGTGATATTATATTACTTTGTGTGTTTACTTGTACTGTTTTTTGTATTATTTTGAAATTTGTATTTTTATTTTCATTATATTTCATTGTTGCATTTTTATGTTGTATATTTGCTTTGCTGTAATGTTGGGCTTGGTCTCATGTAAGCTGCCCCGAGTCCCCTTAGGGAGATGGTGGTGGGGTATTGTGTAGCTTGCTCTTGACCTTTGCAGTCCGAAAAACAGTTGCATCTGTCAACTAGGAAATTTAGGTACCACTTACGTGAGGAGGCTAATTTAACTAATTTACGATGCCATAAAAATCTCCAGCAAGCCTGCAAAGAATGAGGAAGTACTTCATCCGTGTCACAAATGGATGGTGAAGCAATAGCTCCCCTGGTGGCCAGAATACTCTCATGAAAAAGTTGGAATGTTAAATAGCCTCTGTGTCTGTGTATATATGTTGTGTGTCTATGGCATTGAATGTTTGCCATGTATAATTGTAATTCCACCCTGAGAAGGGCGGAATATAAATACAGTAAATAAATATAAATAAATTAATTATTATTATTATGGTTGTGCCCCATATTAGGGAAAGTTGTGGAATGCTCTGGAGCAAGTGAGAACAATTTGAATGGTTTTGATTTGGAACTGGTCCCATTATTCATGCAGTTCAGTGCTGCCATCCTGTTTTCCCAGGGATTACCAGATCATCACTGGAGGTCCATGGCCCATCGCTATGAAGATGACAACACAAGATAGTTAAGTGTGGCAATCCAATGGGGCTGAGGTAGATTTGGCCCTCAACTCCGTAGGATGGAACCAGACAATGTAGTCATCCCCAAGGTTGGTCCAGAGTATTGTCGCTTTGTCAGCACCAGAGTAACTGGCCCATGTACTCATCCAGCACTCATTCACCTTGAACTCTTTGACAGACAAGAAAAGTGTGCTTGTAACTTATTTATGAAAAGAACAGTTGCAAGGTGGCATGAGGGTTTAGCATGTCCTAAAGAAGCAACAAGATGAGGATTAACCTATTGCCCCCTTCTCTCTGAAGCATTACCCAGTCCTACTTGGTTTCCTCCATGTTGCACCAAACCTGGTTGTACCAAACATTACAAGGCCATTTTGTAAACACATCCAGTCCTGGTGCCAGAAAATGTAGGCAAGGGATGGCAGTGCCATAGATTTCATAGTAGTTGTGAGGAAAGTGATGGTCAGGTCACATTTCTGCTATAAATTGCTTCCTTGCTCTGCAGCTGTGTGGCAACCATTCAAATTCCTCGATGCTAGCTCTGTCACTGAATGTGTTGTTCTGGCCCCATGCCCTTGAGTAAGGCTCTTTGGCACACATTGGTTAAATAGCAACAATGAAGATTTCTCCCTCCTAAAGGAAAGGGAATAACCATGTTGGAATCTAATGGAGCATTAAAAGGTTTTGATTATATACAACAAGAACAGGATTACCATAATTAATGCATGTACTTGGCTATCCTACTTGCCATTTTTTCTCTCCCCTTTCCACCCTATACATCTTAGCAAAGTCAGGCACAGCTTAAATAATTCTTGATGCTAAGCAGCTCTGGAAAAGGACTTTATGCTCACTGGTTCATTACATGAACTGGTTATATCCTCACCTTTCAAGCTAAATAAATAAAAATGTGCTAGCACCTATGGTTTTTTGGAGTGATGTTCCAGCGACCATTGGGGTTTTTAGATCTCCCTTTCATAGGGTAGAGAAAAGCTTTGCCCTCAGGGAAAGAGCCCTTAGTACCTGAGAAAGTTGGTTCTTGGCTAGAACTTCAGAATGTTCTAAGTCAGTATGGGGACTGTTACATCATAACTTGAAAAATGCAGAACAATTCTCTTTATGGTTAATGGGTTTAAATTCATTGGGGTATCTAATAAAATGGCAGAAATGTTAGAATTTTAATTTGCAGGCATGGTTTGCAGTTCAAAAGAGATATTGACAAGCTGAAAGGTGTCCAGAGGAGGGTGACTAAAGTGATCAAAGGTCTGCAGACAATGGCCTATGGGGAGCGTCTTAAAGAACTGGGTATGTTTAGACTGCAGAAGAGAAAGATGAGGGGAGACATGATAGCCATATATAAATATGTGTTGTTCATTCGTTCAGTCGTCTCCGACTCTTCGTGACCTCATGGACCAGCCCACGCCAGAGCTCCCTGTCGGCCGTCACCACCCCCAGCTCCTTCAAGGTCAGTCCAGTCACTTCAAGGATGCCATCCATCCATCTTGCCCTTGGTTGGCCCCTTTTCCTTTTACCTTCCACTTTCCCCAGCATAATTGTCTTCTCTAGGCTTTGCTGTCTCCTCATGATGTGAAAGGGTGTCATATGGAAGAGGGAACAGACTTGTTTTCTGCTGCCCTTAAAACTAGGACTTGGAGCAAAGGGTTCAAATTACAGGAAAGGAGTTTCCACCTGAACATTAGGAAGCACTTCCTAACCGTACAAGCTGTTCATTAGTGGAACTCTCTGCCTCAGGGTGTGGTGGAAGCTCCTTCCTTGGAAACTTTTAAACAGAGGCTGGATGGCTATCTGTCAGGGATACCCTGATTGTGCTTTTCCTGTATGACAGGGGGTTGGACTAGATGGCCCATGTGATCTCTTCCAATTCTAAGATTCTATGATTCTCATTTACTTTTTGTTCATCAGATTTTGTTCACTACTGACCATGGTGGCTGTCCCTAAAAGTTGGGTTTCCAACAAATGAATCCCTGTGAGGGTTTGGACGGATCCACCCACTACAGGCAGTATTTCTGTGTCACTGGATCTCCAACATTGGAGAGCACATAAAGGAGAGATATCTTCTGCAGATGTTGAAAGAGATCTTTCCATGATTCTGATATGGCCTGTGTGTGAGGTGAACTATAACACACCTGGCACAGAAATCACTGATCTGCTCCCCCATTGGAATCAAGAAACAAATGGAAGGGGAAACAAAATCTTGGCTGGGACCTTGTGTCAGGAACAGAATGCCCTTGATATTTGCTGGGGTTTGGTTCCAAGACATCTTTCAATGTGTGCTCAAGTTCCATTACATATAATGGCATAGTAAAATGGTGCCCCTTATATAAAATGGCAGAATCAAGATTTACTTTTTAGATTTTGTGTTAATCTATTTTTTATATTTGTATATTTGCAAATTTTAAATTGTATTGAAGTGCTTTTAATGTAAGTCACCTTGAGTCTCCTTTGTAGAGAGAAAAAGCGGGGTATAAATAAACATAACAAACATAACAACAACAACAATAGCAACAACAACAACTATATCTGATGGTTAAATCTGTGCATGTAGAATCTGTAGATATGCAAGGCCACCTTGTGCCTTCCCCCACCCCTGGTCCATGCTTGTTAATCAGGGTGCATACTTTTGGGTAGCTTTTGGAAGAAAATCATTTTAAAATTGCTCTGGGAAAAATAATTTGCAAGGTGGGTGGAAGGCTTTTGTTCACAGAAAAATGGCATTATGGGACCCCATGTAGTCTGCAGACTGCACTTTCTCTACCTTGTAGTCAGTCTGACTCAGCCCAAGGCAGTGACTTACGCTCTTATCATTTTAAGAAATGTGTGAAGTAAATAAACGTAAGGCCCAGCTTGTGACTTATGGGAGATAGACTGCCACACCAATATCTGTTGACAGGTAGCTGAGCTAGACAGAACATTTGCCTGACCCAGTGTGGCAATTTTTATGCAAGTTGCTTCATTACTATTTTACAATAACAGTATTCTTTTATGTAAAGCTATTACAGTATGGGAAGTGCTTGTGAACACCCAATGCATGCCTTGGATAATAATCATTTTTTACAAATACTGTGCAAAATGTAGCCATTTGTCTGGTATATGGGCACAGGCAGAAAGAGGATAATTCCCCCCCCCCCTAAAAAACAAAAAGCTCAACAAAACGAAATTCCCTGTCCTGTATTATTATGGGTAAAGGTCCACTATTTACTTTGGCCTATTTAAATTAGCTGCTATTACTCATGACGGAATTCATGGTAAACAATTAAGCTGTCATGCCGAGGCAACATGGAGGAAAGTAGGAGTCATAAAGGCAAGCAACCAACCCATAATAATGTATCAAAAAGTGTAAGGGGAGAAAGTAGAATGCTAAGAGCAAATCATTTTAAAGCACCCAAGAAACCGAATCAATGTTCTCTAATAGAGTCAGGGAGAACTATTTGCTGCAAATGATTTATTCATCTTGAATAAAACCCGTCTTTCCGCTTGCAAATTATCTCTGAACAGGCTTCCATTTTCTTTGTTAAATCGATTGCTGTTTAAAATTACTCTCTTTGTGCCGTCTGTGAATAAATGTCAGCCTGTCGCCGGCTGGCTAACACCTTCTTGCAACGGCTGATTCAAATGTTATTCCACTTGTACAGTGTGATCTTTTTGTACTGATGTTGCTCGCGTTTGAAACAAATGTCGTGAAATTGCTTCTGCCTTAATTGGTCGAGGGAAGACATTCTGTTCTCATTGCTAAAGCTGTGGTTTTCAACCTGACCCTAATGTTAGACAGAGGAAGGCACCCACCTTATGAATTCATAGCAGACCGAAAACTCAGCCAGAAGGTTCCAGGCTAATAGCTCAGCATCTTCTATATTATGTCCCAATCTGATTTAATTTTTATTCCTACACAAATTTCTGCTTTTGATATGCTACATCAGCTACTTAGTTAAACATATAACTAAGGAATGTCTCCTTGCCTGACTTCTATTCTCTAGTCCAGGGAATCTTAATTTACCTATCCCCACCCTTAACTTTAGACTTAGGGTCACCCTAAATCTGAAACAATAACAATCCTATCTCATCAGCTAAAAGCAGGCCCAGACTTCCCATTGGAACATTGGTAAGTTTATGTTGGTTAAATTGTTCTTCCTTTTAAAATGTATTGTTCTTTCATATATTTGTTGCACCTCAAATAAGATATGTGCAGTGTGCATAGGAATTACAGATTAAAGAGAGGATTGGCCAAAACTAACAAAATGAAGTTCAACAGGGACAAATGTAAGATACTCCACTCAGGCAGAAAAAATTAAATGCAAAGATACAGAATGGGGGACGATGCCTGGCTCGACAGAAGTACATGTGGAAAAGATCTTGGAGTCCTTGTGGACAACAAGTTAAACATGAGTCAACAATGTCATGAGGCAGCAAAAAAAGCCAGTTGGATTTTGCCCTGCATAAATAGGAGTATAGTTTCTAGATCCAGGGAAGTCATGCTACCCCTCTTCTGCCTTGGTCAGAGCACATCTGGAATCACACTGTGTCCAATTCTGGGCACCGCAATTGAAGAGAGATGCTGGAAGGTGTCCAGAGGAAGGCAACTAAAATTATCAAGGGTCTGGAGAACAAGCCCTATGAAGAGTGGCTTAAATGTTTAGCCTGCAGAAGTCTGAGAGGAGACATGATTAGGGCCATGTATCAAATTGTGAGAGGAAGTCATAGGGAGGAGGAAGCAAGCTTGTTTTCTGCTGCCCTGGAGACTACGGCATGGAACAATGGCTTCAAACTACAGGAAAGGAGACTCTACATGAGGAAGAACTTCCTGACTCTGAGAGCTGTTCAGCAGTGGAACTCTCTGCCTAGGAGTGTGGAGGTGGCTCCTTCATTGTAGGCTTTTAAACAGAGGCTGGATGGCCATCTGTCAGGATACTTTGAATGCAATTTTCCTGCTTCTTGGCAGGGGGTTGGACTGGATGGTCCATGAGGTCTCTTCCAACTCTATGATTCTATGATTCTATGAATTTGTTCAAGTTCTTTTCAAACTATAGTCCAGCCTGCCAACAGTATGAGGGACCGTGAAATGGCCCTCTGCTTTAAAATTTGAGGGCCCCTGCTCTAGTCCACCCTAATAGCCAGAAATCAGATTGGACAAAAAAGGTTTTTCCGATGACCTATGAGGGCAGTGGAGGATATATTTCCAACTCATTTCACCTGCAAGTGAGACTGTGGACATCAGAAGCAGGATCCCTGCTACAAGTCCTTGTCTCAGGTTCACCTACAACCCTTCCACACAGCCCTATACCCAGAATATCGAGGCAGAAAATCCCACAGTATCTGATTTGAACTGGGTTTTCTGAGTCCACACTCAGATAATGTGGGATTTTCTGCCTTGATATTCTTGGATATAGGGCTGTGTGGAAGGGCTCCTACTGGGAAAAGGGAGTTGAAAATGTTATCCTCCTTGCATCTCATCACTAACTGAACAGATCCAGTTGCTGGCTGTTATTGTGGACTGGAGGAAACTTTGACCTTACAACATCTAACTGAATACAGAGCAGTTACAGATCCATAACTCTAGGTTATGAATCTATATCTGCCATATTTAATGCTAGGCAATAACAATAGCTGTAGGTCCCACAACTGAGTTCTACAATGGCCCCATGATTAACACATGAGATATTTCAACTTACCAGTCATGTGGTCATGGGAATCACCTAGGAAACAGAAAAGGAAATGATTACATTAATAACATTGTAAAGAAAGACTTCTTTGGTTTCATAAAAGAAAACAAAAAGGATAATTTTTTTAGAATCTAGCTGCTAGTTGGAAATTTCTGAGTTAAGCAGCCAATAGAAATGGAAATATATACGGTTCACTTCTAAACATAATGGGTCAAATGAGGCAAGCTAGTTTTACATGCTCACAATTTCTTTCTGTAAAGAAATTTTAGTTCTGACTCCTCCAACTGTGACTGTGGACCATTGCACAGGTAAGTGTGGCACTGTGGTGTGATCAGGGGCTGGTGATACATTTAACCCATCAATAGTAGGGGGCAGATTTGCTGCAAGGAAGAGGTGGACTGGCAATAGGTTGTGCACAGTGTTATGTGATAGAGACCTTCACCAAAGATCCCCTTTGGTGATGGTGCTGTTCCTATATTGGACTACCTACTTCATGCAATAGAGTCCTATATGACTCCAGCGTGTTGTTGATGTTGTTGTTGTAATTCTGCATTTATTTTGTTACTAATTTATTTGGATCTGAATTTTGGATTCAATTATAGAGATGCATGCCTTAGTTATGTCCTATTTGGACTACTGTGAAGTTCAAATGGGTAAAATATTAACTTTTTGCAAAAAAATTACATCTCTATCCGCTACTGCTCTGGAGGGTTATGTTACTTGACAATCAGTTGAATTTACTTGAAGATTACTTGCTGGTTGAACCCTGACTGTATGGCAGCTAAGCAGTTACTGGAAACAATAGTATGAAATGGAAAAAAAGGCCCAATGGTTGGGTGTTTGGATTTTCTCTCAAATATTCTGCTATTTCTTTTGAAGTTGTGTGGCAGTACACACTCCACATTTGCGGTATTAACTTTTCTGGATTTGATTAACTGTTGGATGGTGCTATGAAAACTAAACCAGGAGATGACTACAGATGTCCAGATCAGAGACTTCCCTTGGTCAACCATCACTGGAAGTTATTGGGTAGAGGTGCAAAATAGAGCCTTTTGGGGCTTTCGAACTCCTTGCCAAATTAGGTTCAGTTGGCTTCCTCTTGATTGACTTAGTAGGGAGGATTAAGCCAATTAAACTAATCAAATTGGCTAAAGGAAGTGTTAACAAGTTGAGAGCTACTTCTTATCTTTTTTTTTGTAACGTTTTAAACCAGGGGTTCCCAAATTAAGGCCTGCGGACTGGATGTGACCCTCCAAGATCATTTACTGGGCCCGGCTCTTAACTTTAGACTTGGGGTCACTCTAAGTCTGAAATGACTTGAAGACACACAACAAAAACAATCCTAATTAACTTGATTATCTCATCAGCCAAAAGCAGGCCCAGGTGATAGTATGATAGCTGGGACCCAGTGCTGCTAGCGTTACGCTGATTGCGGAACGGAGGGGCAGGAGGATACCATTGAAGTAATTGAATGGAGGGGGGGGGGCACAGATAACAGTGAAGGAATGCAACAGGGCTTTAATGAGAAATGATAAACAGTTTGGGAAACACTTTGGGAAGACATTACATGGGATAGAAATCTGCAATCTGATCCCAAAGATTATTAAATGCTTCCATCTTGTTGGCACCCGACATCCAGGTTCTCCACAAACTGGAGGTCATTGCGCTATAATTCTACGTTCCTGGGAAAAAGTCACAGCCAGCTCAATTGTCCAAAAGTGTTCAATAAAGTGGATTAGATTGATTTTACACCACTCCTCGTATTTGCCCCTTCCTTTCTATCCTTCCTTCTAATGGAACAACGAATGATCTTCCTCACTTTGTCCCCTCTATGTCTCTCAGTCCGCTCGCTCTCACTCCCCCCCCCCTCTTTTGACCATGTGGTCGCACACGTGTTCCCTTCCCTCATTCACAACCACAATTGGGCAATCAGCATGACGCCAGCAGCGCTGGGTGCCAGCTATCATACTATCACCCAGGCACACGTTTCCCATTGAAATACTGGTAAGTTTATGTTGCTTAAAATTGTGCATCGTTTTAAATATTGTATTGTTCTTTCATATATTTTTTTGCACTACAAATAAGATATGTGCAGTGTGCATAGGAATCTGTTTTTTTCAAACTATAGTTTGGCCCCACAACAGTTTGAGGAAACATGAAGTGGCCTTCTGCTTTAAAAGTTTGAGGACTCCTGTTTTAAACAATTTATTCAATGAGAATTCTTTTTGATTTTAACAGAGATTTTCCCTTCAATATTTTGTTTGTTATTATTAACTCTCTTGTGCACTATTTTGGAGAGAGAGCTTCGAAAACATAACAAAATCAGTAATTTAATCAAACGTCTGGAAGCCAAGCCCTATGGGGATCCTCTTAGGGAGTTGGGCATTTTATTGCTGGAGAAGAGAAGATTGACTGGTGACATAAGAGCCATGCTTAAAGGATGCCATATTGAAGAGGGAGCAATCTCCTCTTCTGGAGACTTGGGCATGGAGTATTCAAACTACAAGAAAAGAGATTTCACCTAAACATTGGGAAGAACGTCCCGACAATAAGAGCTGTTCAATGGTGGAATACGTTGCCTGGGAGTGTGGTCTAATATCTTTTTCTGAGTTTTTTTTAGAAACAGTGTTGGATGACCATATGTTTGGAGTGCTTTGATTGTATATCTAAATGTCATTATGGAGTTGGCCTGGATGGCACTTGGGGTCTCTGCCAACTCTATAATTCTAAAAGAAAATTATTCTAAATGATCAAAATCTTAAATATCTGCCATTGTTTACAAAAGGAAAGGACCAACCCTGCCCCATGTTGTGTATCTTGAATCCTTAGACTTTAGGTTATACTGAGTGTCTATTCTTTGGATTTCACTGGAAACTCCATTCTAGTTTTTAATATTGTAACCATACCTGTTGATTGGAATGATATTAGTTTGTGAATTCTCTTGAGTAGAAGGTTATTGTAAATGTTCCTTGTGGCTCTAAGATAAATGATGATGTGAATAGGTTTGTTGAAGAAATACAGTCTACTGTGAGGAACCAAGATGTTTTATAACCATGTTTCTATGTTATTTCCCAAAAGAAAATGTGACCTGCTAATATACCAAGAATGAGAAAAGTAAAGTTGCCTTTTTTTTAAAAAAAAAACAAAACAACACTTTTAGTATATTTTTGAAGTATCATCTAATAATGTCCTGGAACAGTATTAAAAACCCGACCTTGATTTACAGAGAAAAATACAGTGAATGGAAAAATGTCTATGCTGCCAAAAACCTTTCATTTCTCTATCCGTTGCTGAGCCATATTGATGGTTTGTGTTGACATATGGCAAAATAACATTTGTCAGAGATCACTTGCTTTAAAGGATACATATGGTAGTGTCGGCAGAAGAAAACAAGGACTTTTTATTTCCCCATCTCACCTTCAGTGTCTTACCAAAGTATTCCAGGTGTAACTTTTCATTTTGGTATTTGAAATTAAATTAACTCGACAGCAGCTGGTGTAAGGGATGGAAAGCAGAACTTGAGTGTAAAGGTTATAGTCTTTAAAAACCAGAAACTGAATGCCATTGAACTCAGTAGAATTTTACCTCGCAGTAAATATTTTATAGTGTTGGGCTATAAACGGACATCAGAGCTTGAAAAAGGAGGTTTTTCAGAACATGACCCTTCAAAGCGTCCAAGTACCATGACCATGGGTACATATAGCCCAGTTTTAACAATAGTAGCACAACATTTTCTCGATTCAGTAATCAAGCAGCATCTTAGAACCCATTGAAATATACTACAGTAGGTATGACAGCTTCAATACAAAAGGAAAAGATCTTTCATATCATCTTCTGCCCAATCCTTAAAAAGAAATAAAGCCCTAGAGATACATGCCATTAGACCAGGAACCTTCTGTATGTAAACCATGTGTTCTGTCCCAAAGAAAATCACAGAGTTTTAAGGGACACTGAGGGCTAAAGAACTCCTGAAAAATTATATCCAATCTGTTTAAAGAATACCACAAAAGGACAATCCACCACTCTCCAAGGCAGTTTATTCCACTGTTGGACAGTTCACGCAGTGATGTAGTTCTTCCTTATGTTAAGGTAGAACCTCTTTTCTTGTAATTTGAATGTTGTTGTTGTTTATTTATTCAGTCATTTTTGACTCTTTGTGAAGACTGACAGGGAGCCCATGCCAGAGCTCCCTGTTGGCCGTGGCCACCCCCAGCTCCTTCAAGGTCAAGCCAGTCACTTCAAGGATACCATCCATCCATCCTGCCCTTGGTCGGCCCCTCTTCCTTTTTCTTTCCATTTTTTCCAGCATCATTATCTTTTCCAAGCTTTCCTGTCTTCTCATTGTGTGGCCAAAGTACTTCATCTTTGCCTCTAATATCCTTCCCTCTAGTGAGCAGCCGGGCATTATTTCCTGGAGTATGGACTGGTTGGATCTTCTTTCAGTGATATTAAAGTAGCTGCAGCCCAGACAAAACCATATGGAAAGCCATGGTTATCCAGCATTGATTAGAAAAATGTAGGACATGTGAGATGCAGTTATTTCCTTAGACCAGTTTCCTGGAAGTCCATACTGGTACGTCTGTTAAAATGGAGTTCTATCCCTTTGGAAAGAAGGAATTATTCTTTTAGGCTAATACCCTTTAACTAGAAACATCCAACAGCTTGGAAGACAGTGTTGATAAAATATCAACAGAAGAATCCAACTTTGCTTTAAGGCATCTTCGGGGATTAAAACTGAATGAGCAGTAGATCAATGATTATTATGGCAGGATTCACACAGCCAAATTAGAGATTGCCTGGTACTGCACTCTTTTCGTCCATTTTGCTTATGAAACACTGCAAGCTAGAAGCACCATAAACAAAGGCGCGTGTCCTATCCAAAGAAATTCCTCATATTAGAGAGAATTCCACCTTTCCGGGCAAAGACTTCCCCAGTGGTTCCAATGTCAGTGAGGTAGTAAATCCATTATGAAGTTTAGTCCATATTTGAGTGTTCCAAAATGTTGAACCTTATTTCTTCAACAGCTGCCACTAGATTGCTTTCGTACAAGAGGGTTCTACCTATTGGTTAGACTGCTATATTTCCACCAGTCCAGCCATTAGCATCTTATGATCATTTGCCTTTGACCTACCACTTGATTCAGGATGGAAGATAAAGCTATTTTAGTCAAATTTAGAATTAATTTATTGAATTCCACGCGGAAAGAGAAAACTGAAGTTTTGTAATGCAATGTGAAAACATGATAGGAATTCAAAAATTCAGGTTCAGAGAGATGCAATGAAACTGAGACTGTGACATTCATGTTAGTAATCCAGATACATTCAATTCAAACAGCACAACACAAAGCACAGCACAACACAGAGCTCTAAAATGGTTCTGAAGCTGCTACAAAGTCTTCCAAAGGGACTGGGTATGTGAGAGAATGCCACAGAAGAAGCCTGTCTTGGGCTGTTATTCTTATATATGGTACATACCAGGTGGAATAATTTCTTCTGATTCCCGAAATCGAACTGATTTCTTGGCTCTTGGCATTGTGCTGTCCTCCTGGTTCATAGATGACGATTTTCTCAATATGGAAGACTGACTCTGGTGACTCTGGTGGGGAAAAAGAGTATGATTGGTTTATTTATTGTATCAGAAGCAAACCAAGGGTACAGTTGTATTGTATTTTTTAAAAAACACATTATATGAAATGTCCTTTGTGTTGCCTTCAGGCTGAGAAAGGCGGTATATAAATAAAGTAAATAAATATATATATTAATAAATAACTCCAGCAAAGGGTCACCGCCTTGTCGGGGCGCTGGAGCTTGAGCACCTCAATGATGTCATGAGCGAAACCGTGAAGGGCCACCCAAGACGGGACGGTTGTGGCAGAGAGGTCAGACCAAGCGTGATCCCTGGGGAAGGCAATGGCAAACCACTCCAGCATCCTTGCCAAGAAAACTAAATGGACCAGTACAACCAGAGATATGTCGGTATGCCATTGGAAGATGGGACTCCCAGGTCGGAAGATGGCCAAAATGCTACTGGGGAGGAGCAGAGGATAAGTTCAACTAGCCCCAGATGTGATGACGCAGCTAGCTCAAAGCCGAAAGGAAGGCTAGCGGCTGACGGTACTGGAGGTGAACGACGAATCCGATGCTCTAAAGATCAACACACCATAGGAACCTGGAATGTAAGATCTATGAGCCAGGGCAAATTGGATGTTGTTATTGGTGAGATGTCAAGACTAAAGATAGACATTCTGGGGGTCAGCGAACTGAAATGGACTGGAATGGGCCACTTCACATCCAGATGACCACCAGATCTACTACTGCGGACAAGAGGAACATCGAAGAAATGGAGTAGCCTTCATAATTAATAAGAAATTCGCTAAAGCGGTGCTTGGATACAACCCAAAAAATGACAGAATGATCTCAATTCGAGTGCAAGGAAAGCCTTTCAACATTACAGTGATCCAAATATACGCCCCAACCACAGCTGCTGAAGAAGCAGAAGTAGATCATTTCTATGAGGATCTGCAGGACCTACTGGATAATACACCAAAAAGAGACATTATTTTCATTACAGGAGACTGGAATGCCAAGGTGGGAAGTCAAATGACAACTGGGATCACAGGCAAGCATGGTCTGGGAGAACAAAATGAAGCGGGACGCAGGCTGATAGAATTTTGCCAGGACAACTCGCTGTGTATAACGAATACTCTCTTCCAACAACCTAAAAGACGGCTTTATACATGGACCTCACCAGATGGTCAACACCGAAATCAGATTGACTACATCCTTTGCAGCCAAAGGTGGCGGACTTCCATCCAGTCGGTGAAAACAAGACCTGGGGCTGACTGTAGCTCAGATCACGAACTTCTTATTGCCCAATTTAGAATAAAACTAAAGAGATCAGGGAAAATACACAGACCAGTTAGATATGATCTCACTAACATTCCTAGCGAATATACAGTGGAAGTGAAGAACAGATTTGAAGGACTAGATTTAGTAAACAGAGTCCCAGAAGAACTATGGACAGAAGTCCGCGACATTGTTCAGGAGGCGGCAACAAAGTACGTCCCAAAGAAAAAGAAAACCAAGAAGGCAAAATGGTTGTCTGCTGAGACACTGGAAGTAGCCCAGGAAAGGAGGAAAGCAAAAGGAAACAGGGATAAGGGGAGATATGCCCAGTTAAATGCGCAATTCCAGAGGTTAGCCAGAAGAGATAAGGAACTATTTTTAAATAAGCAATGCATGGAAGTGGAAGAAGACAACAGAATAGGAAGGAAAGAGACCTCTTCCAGAAAATTAGAAACATTGGAGGTAAATTTCAGGCAAAAATTGGTATGATAAGAAACAAAGATGGCAGGGACCTAACAGAAGCTGAAGAGATCAAGAGAAGGTGGCGAGACTATACAGAAGATCTGTATAGGAAGGATAATAATATTGAGGATAGTTTGACTGTGTGGTGAATGAATTAGAACCAGACATCCTGAGGAGTGAGGTTGAATGGGCCTTAAGAAGCATTGCTAACAACAAGGCAGCAGGAGACGACGGGATCCCAGCTGAACTGTTTAAAATCTTAAAAAATGATGCTGTCAAGGTGATGCATGCCATTTGCCAGCAAATATGGAAAACACAAGAATGGCCATCAGACTGGAAAAAATCAACTTATATCCCCATACCAAAAAAGGGAAATGCTAAAGACTGCTCAAACTTCCGTACAGTGGCCCTTATTTCTCATGCCAGTAAGGTAATGCTCAAGATCCTGCAAGGAAGACTCCAGCAATACATGGAGCGAGAGTTGCCAGATGTTCAAGCTGGGTTTAGAAAAGGCAGAGGAACGAGAGACCAGATTGCCAATATCCGCTGGATAATGGAGAAAGGCAGGGAGTTTCAAAAAAACATCTACTTCTGCTTCATTGACTATTCTAAAGCCTTTGACTGTGTGGATCATAATAAATTGTGGCAAGTTCTTAGTGGGATGGGCATCCCAAACCACCTTGTCTCTCTCCTGAGGAATCTGTACAAGGACCAAGTAGCAACAGTCAGAACTGACCACGGAACAACAGACTGGTTCAAGATTGGGAAAGGCGTACGGCAAGGCTGCATCCTCTCACCCAACCTTTTAACTTGTATGCAGAACACATCATGCGATGTGCGGGGCTGGATGAATGCAAAGCTGGGGTGAAAATTGCTGGAAGAAACATTAACAACCTCAGATATGCAGATGACACCACTCTGATGGCCGAAAGCGAGGAGGAGCTGAGGAGCCTTCTAATCAAGGTGAAAGAAGAAAGCGCAAAAGCCGGGTTGCAGCTAAACGTCAAAAAAACCAAGATTATGGCAACAGGAATGATTGACAACTGGAAAATAGAGGGAGAAACCGTGGAGGCCGTGACAGACTTTGTATTTCTAGGTGCAAAGATTGCTGCAGATGCAGACTGTGGCCAGGAAATTAGAAGACGCCTACTTCTTGGGAGGAGAGCAATGTCCAATCTCGATAAAATAGTAAAGAGTAGAGACATCAGACTGGCAACAAAGATCCGCCTAGTCAAAGCCATGGTATTCCCTGTAGTAACCTACGGATTTGAGAGCTGGACCTTAGGGAAGGCTGAGCGAAGGAAGATCGATGCTTTTGAGCTGTGGTGTTGGAGGAAAGTGCTGAGAGTGCCTTGGACTGCGAGAAGATCCAACCAGTCCATCCTCCAGGATATAAGCCCCACTGCTCACTGGAGGGAAAGATACTAGAGACAAAGTTGAAGTACTTTGGCCACATCATGGAGACAGGAAAGCCTAGAGAAGACAATTATGCTGGGGAAAGTGGAAGGCAAAAGGAAGAGGGGCCGACCAAGGGCAAGATGGATGGATGGCATCCTTGAAGTGACTGGGCTGACCTTGAGGGAGCTGGGGGTGGTGACGGCCGACAGGGAGCTCTGGCGTGGGCTGGTCCATGAGGTCACGAAGAGTCGGAGACGACTGAACGAATGAACAACAACAACATTAATAAATAAATAGACCAGTATTTGGCCACTTGGAATGTCTCCGGTGTTGCTATGAGGTCATCCATTGTGCATGTGACAGGGCTCAGACTGCATTGTATGATGCTGGTGATGCCTTTTGCCCAACATCAAAACTCAAAGTAGCTTTCAAATTATTGTAACCAAACATATAGTAATTCTACACTGCCCTCAAGGTTGTTTACTTGTTTAGAGTCATGGGAGGTAGAACTGCACCTGGACATCAGTTCAGACTTTAGTTTCCTGTTACACTGGAGGTGAATTAGGAAGTTTGTACGGAAGGGCATACTGGAAACCTTCCCATGTAAGCATGAAAAAATCATCCAACCCAGAGTTACACTGCCATAATAACCCAACAGAAGGTAAGCTAAAGGAGTTCTCATCTGATTGCCATTGCAATAGATAGGATTCATTTGTACTTTAGTTCTCCAAATCCTGCAATCAGTAAATGGATTCTGGGAAATGTAGATCCTCAAAAGAAAATTTCAAAGGATTGACTTGTTCTATATCTTTCCAGATGAGGACAATACAAACAGTGCTGATTAAATGAATAGCACTATGAAACTACTATATCCACTTCTGCAGTTCCTGATTGACTGATTTCACTGAATCAATGAAAATGAACTCTTTACTAAGGCTAGGTGGCATTTTGGTCTTTCAAAAATGCAGTTTTGTCTTCTAAAAGTTTTCAAGGCAAAGATCTAGGTGTAACTTGCCATCAAGCTGTCTTTGACTTACAATGACACTCTGAATGAGAAATGTGCAAAAGGCTTAGTCCTCAGCTGTCCTGCTGTGTTGTAATTTTGGTGCTGTATCTTAACTTATTGAATCAATTAATCTGTAATATAGATTTTCCTACTGCCTTTTAATTTTCTCAGTATTATCACCTTATTCGGTGAGTCATGTAACTCCATGATATTTCCAAACTACTGTGTATTGCAAATGTGTCCTTTGGAGATCTTGGTATACTGCACTTCAGATAAAGAAACTAATATATGGATAGTATAATTGTTTTTAAATTAGAAACAAATATAGATATGTTGTATCTATCGGCCAGTTTCCAATCTCCCCTATTTGGGCAAGGTCATGGAACGTGTGGTGGCAACACAACTCCAGGGGTTTCTGGTAGACACTGATTATCTAGACCCGGCACAGTCTGGCTTTAGGCCGGGACATGGAACTGAGACAGCCTTGGTCGCCTTGGTAGATGATCTATGCAGGGAGCTAGACAGGGGGAGTGTGTCCCTGTTAGTTCTGCTGGACCTCTCAGCGGCCTTCGATACCGTCGATCACGGTATCCTTCTGGGGCGCCTCATGGACATGGGGCTCGGAGGCACTGCTCTGCGGTGGCTCCGATCCTTCCTTGAGGGACGGACCCAGAAGGTGTTATTGGGTGACACCTGTTCGGCTCCGCAACCGTTGCTGTGTGGAGTCCCACAGGGTTCAATCCTGTCCCCGATGTTATTTAACATCTACATGAAGCCACTGGGAGAGATCATTCGGAGTTTCGGACTAAGATGTTACCTCTATGCAGATGACGTCCAAATCTGTCACTCCTTCTCACCTGTCACCAAGGAGGCTGTCCAGACCT